CCATCGGGTCCATGTCCTTCTTATGCTGGGGGCCCCAGAACTGAACACAGCACTGCAGATGGGGTCTCAGCAGAGCAGAGGGACAGAATCACCTCCCTTGACCTGCTGGCCATGTTTATCTTGATGCAGCCCAGGATACGATTGACTTTCTCTCCACTAGCACCCCCAAGTCCTCTATACTTAGTACTATTATGAATGGAGATTTTTGAAGGTTGCCCTTCCCTATAACATCTAGATTTTTTTTTTTTTTTTAACCTGAATGAGTTTGTTAAGCGTGACTTCTGCACCTTTCACATTTGTCCATTCTTCATGTGGAATCACGGGTTTCTAAGTGTGTGGTCATGTGGGAGTTCAGTTGATGAAACCAAGCAAAAGCTGAAAGCTATGCAAAGCGCATCAGAGTTGTCTCAGTGAAGTAAATGTGTTCATGACAGGTAACGCTCAGGTGCGATCCCATGAAGTGGACTTGATTGTGCATAATCACTCAGCAGAATGAATTAGTTGAAGCATTTAATGCCAACTAAGTATTGGATGCCATTGTTAACTAAAAATGTTTATGTTTCTCAGGAAGTTTCATGGTTTTTAACGCACGTGATATATTTTACACTAATAAACAGCCGTCTTAATTAAAGCCAACTGCTAAGTAGTGTAATTCACTAAAAATTAAAAAAAAAATCATAATTTATTTCCTGTTCACAGGAAAAAATTCAGGAAGTAACCATGTCCTTCTATTTCCCATAAGGGTAGCAGAGGGGAGCCAGGTCCTGCGGGCCCTCCAGGTTTACCAGGGAAATGGGTAAGCAGTTTATTTCCATATTCAGTGCTCATGTTTGCTTTCAAGGAGCTGTGGTATCATTTGGAACAACGCTTATCCATTTATGCATTCATGGAATGGAAGATGTTGAAATGAGTGATTATTGAGCTTCTTTTTCTGTCCTCATGTGACTGTGCTAATATTAGAAAATGCTGTTTTAAAGTATATGGAGTTATGTGGGACTTTTTCTTTAAAAAAAAAGGATGTTTTAGCGTGAGAAGTTGGGTTGCACACTCCTGTGTGGGCTCCGTGTACTTGGGGAACAGGAGCAGTGAAAGACTGGCTTTCTGCTAACAGTTACGTGAAGCTAATGAATGGAGCAGGTTATGAATGCCACCTTTTACCAAGGCTCCAGCAGTATTTACACAGCAACAGTCAGCAGCATAGCTGGGGAGCTTCTGGCTGAAAGAGCCTGCTGTTACAGAGGAATGTGCAAATCAGAGTGCAAAATCTTAGGAAGCATTTTTAAGAGAACCAGACTGTAGTCCAGGGACTTGGAGGTTGCAGAGCCCTGTAAGCCATTTCTGTTGTGTTTATCTGAATAAAAATCATAATAGGACACTATTTAAAATCTGTATTTTGGATCAGCTTTATTTCCATCAGGTAATTCTCCTTCATCAAGTTACAACTGTTCTGGGAATAAGATTCTGCCCTGTCTGCTTGTCAGGGTATGACCCTTAGTTGTTCATTCTAAACCAGCTTGGGTAAGTTTACATCTCTGATTTATTTTCACAGGGTCCCCAGGGTGATATTGGACTTCCTGGACTGCCAGGTCCTCCAGGCCTACCTGGTGGTAAGGGTGACCGGGTAAGAAATGCATTCATACATACACACTGCAGATACAATAATTTGAGCATTGTTTTCAGTCTTTGCGTGAATTAATGTCTGATTTCTTGGTTTATATGTAGATCTGTTAGCTACATGAAAGCAGTTCTCCAGGTAGCCATTAACTACTTGTAGCTCATAAAATATCCAGGAAAAATCTTGACAGTGTTACTTAAGGGACTGAAATAAGATTCCTGCCTTAAATATTTCATTTTTTTTTTGGAACTTGAATCATTTAAAACCCAAAATCATATTGCAAATCGTTGACTCAGCCAGATCTGAAATTTTAAGTCAGGGTCTCTGGTCACTAAAGAGCTTTGGAACTTCAAGCCTAGTCTACAGTAGATACAATGCCTATTCCATATTTCTTAGGACCTACTATGGAAATGCATAGGCTGATACAGCTATTGAGACGCTTATGCATACATGGACAATTGCAGGATATAAGTATCTCTTCTAGTATTTTGTTAGGAGGGAAGAGGTGGGCCCTGGAGATCTCACATGCCTGCAGAAGATTCTTATTCTTTGCTGAATAAATGTCAGTGAAGACAGTATATAAAACAAAAAAAATGTTGCTTATCTTCTCTTGCCTATGGGAGGCTACTGAGGATGGAATTCACTCACCAAACTTCGGATATCTTTGTTACAGAAATAATCAGTTTTACACTGTGTTTTTTCCTTCTTACTTGAGGTAGCTACTTCTGTAGTGCACTCAGTGAAGTGCCTTTTACATTCCACTGAGAATCAAGGAAGTAGAGAACTGTTAGTCAAACATAGGTATCACTGCTATCTTCAGCTGAACAGAGGAATCCTGCCCCTGGGATGCTCCCAGTATACATTGTAGGGTGGTTTCTAAGTCTTTGTTGTTGTTCTTCAGGTATTTTTTCACGTGTTGGGGGTTGTTTTTTTTTTAATGCTGATATCAGGAACATATGTTTCTAGTCAAATGTAAGTATTGACATAAACAGTCTCTTTTTATTAGTTTGGTGATGATTCATACCTTAGAGTTGTCCAGAGGATGATTGACAGCAATTCTGGAAGGAAAATAAATCATTACAGTGCTGACAGTCCCCCTCCAAAGATGCCTGATTTTCCTCATTTACTGGCATAAAGGGCCTGGACCTCCAGAATAAGAGCAGAATGTAAATGCTGTAACCAGACCCAGTGAACTTCAGGATACAGCTGGAGGTTTCTGTTTGTCTAAGTGGCAGATGACAGCATCTTACGCCTGGAGCTATTTTTAAATCCTAGGGTCGGTTTAACACGCTTTGCAAATAAAGCCCAAGAAGCTATGCTAGCAGTTATATCATTCCATGGTTGCTTTTTAGCTTTCCTGTTTGGAGACAACTGTCCACTTGTATCCTTGATTCATTTTTTGTCTCCTTCAGTGGCAGAGAGGCAGGAGTGAATTTTCTAGTGCAGCCTTAACAAGCCTGCACCTTTGCCAGTAGCCCTGATCTGATCTGCAGTGGCTATTCCAAGTCACAAGCCCAGTGAGCATTGTGCCACCCTGCCATTGCGCTACTCTGTTCAACTTGCATCTGTCATATACAGAGCCAAATGTTGTCAAGGTTTGGGAATAGCTATCTCTGTAGTCTGTTAGCCCTAGTCTTTGGGTCAACCACTGCTATCACGAAGTTCCAAACTGAAGTGACCTGGTTTTATTGAATTACGATGTTGTAAAAGTGAGGCTTACCGTAATTTGATGACAGGGTTCACTCCGTTACTTACTGCAGGGCATATAATAAGGATTCAGAGCTACCAACACAAAACTGAAGTTATGAATACAAGATATTGGTGCACTCTAACTCAAGGCTATGCATCTTGTCTGTCACTTACCAAACATTGGTTGGTAATGGATGTCAGCCTTGTCTCCCGGTCAAGGGGAGATCACCACCATGCAGCCAGCTGCTTAGCGGGGAGGGCTCAAAGAAGGCTCACTAGGCTGTCATATTTATGGAATAAAGTGATTGGCTCGTGGTCAAATTATGTGCAGCGAAAAAGGCACACAAATCCCTGTACCCACAATTTGCTTTGTTGCTTAACAAGTGAGTCTTGGAAGAACTACCTGCTATTCACATGGCAGCCACGCAGCTGGCGTTCCAGTTTCCCAGCCTGTATGGGTAAGTGTTCACTGTGACAACCTGTTCCCCCCTGGGTTGTCAGAGAACAGGTTCAAAGTAGAGAAATTCTTGGCCTGGTTATGGCCTAGGCCTTGACCTCCCTTCAGAGCCTGAACCAGACCTCCACTGGTTAGGTCACACACCTGACATATTTTAGCAGAGGTGGCAATACAAAGTGATTTCAACAGTGGATCATGCCTTAGTGAATCTTACAGAGCACTTGTGCAGATATCTTAAGGGTAACGGCCAAACCCCAGCGTTCACCACTTACTTATTTTGAATTGTTTTCAGACATTCTGGTTCTGTCTATTTTAGTAAATTTAACAGCACCAGACGAAAACACAGACCTTGGCACTGGAACACCATCCTCTATCCTGTTAAACACTTGGTGTAGCCTCTGGTACAGTTTTGGTTAATGCTGACTGGCAGTTTCACAAACACTTCCTGGACATGGTGTGATAGGGTTTTTTACAAATAGAGAAGGAGTATGTAAAAAAAAACCAGTGGATATTTTCATATTTTGACATCTTATCCTGTTGTCTATTGAAATTTTGGAAGTCAGTGTAGAATAGATTCAGATAGTTTTGGCTGTGATTTTTGTATTTGCTAGTACAAATATTACAGGCCAAGTTTCACAAAAGCAGAAGCTTCAAGTGTCTCAACCTTATCTGCTGGCAGTTTTGTTGCTCTAAAGAAGAGTAAGTGGAGAAAAAGAACCCCCAAAATGATGTTAGATTGGAAATCAATGGTGTTTTTTTTTTTGTGGAGGCAATTGGAAAACCCTGATAAGGCATGATTTTGAGAACATTTCAGACAAAATAGTTTCAGTGTTGTTCGACAAAGTCAGAATATTAAATAGGTCTGTGATTTCCACTGTTTAGCTTTGTAGATAATTTAGTATTGGCTCTTCGTCCTCAGGAACATGAAAACAAACCTGAATTCATTGAATTGTAGATGCTACACTGGTTTGTGTGCCTATATTTTATGTGAATTAAGTGGATCTCTGAAACGGGAGACAAAATGCTGTATTGCCATCTGCTTTAGAAAACATTTTTTTGTACATAGTTATAGTTCTTTTGGACTGTATAGGTTTGAATGTGCACAGACTACAAAGAACATTTAGGGATGTCATGCTCGGTTTTCTTATAGAACAGAAATACTAAGATTTTCTTAAATAACACACTGTTCTACAAATTCAATACTTTTACTGTAGGAACAAATTACATGTATTTGAAATTAATCAGGTCACTAATTTATTCCTCTTCGTTTCCTGCCTGTCCATGCAGGTGTGTTTTGTTCCAGGAGTCTAAGATGAAACACAATGATGTTGTGGTTTTTTTTTTTTCTTTTTAAAAAGCAATATCAACTTGAAGATGCAAGCCATTCAGCTTTGACTATAACGATCAAAATTCTAGAGACAGTTCTGCTAAAAAAACATTGGGAATTAAACAGCAAGCAAGGGAAGATTGTGGCTGAACTTGTGGATGTCTCAGTGTGCTTATCCCCGCCCCTGTTAGCAGGGCTGGTATGGCCTACAGCAATACAGAATACTTAATAGGGCTGGAAAGAGTGATACACCCTCTGGATTTTTTTTTTCCTTATAACATCTAACCAATTTGCAGAGCAGAGTTGTAGCTCCTTCAAGAACATCTGCCATGTAAAGGGATGATCTGCTGTTTGACAGTCAGAATATGTGTCATCCAGTGCAGCAGTGGATTATATGTTCCATGCTATCACTTGCCTTCAGTCTGTCACCTTAATTATATAGCAAGATTTAACTGCTTTCATTGTCATTCTTAAAAATTTGCAGCTTCAAATGGCTTTTCCGTTGCTGTTAGATGGTAGGGAGAATTGAAGATAATGCTTCTGATCCTACGGTTTCAAATTCTCAAATGTTTTCTCTTTTAAATCTTCAACCTTTTAGGGTTCAGTGGGTGAACCAGGACCTAAGGGTGAACAGGTAGGTTATGTTACAGATCATGGTACTTTCAAGTGACCCTACAAAACATTGCAGTACATTATGTTGACTAAATCTGAAGACTTGACAACATGTCTTTTTTTTTGATACAGGGTGTCCCTGGAGCAGAAGGAGATGGAGGAGAAAAGGGTGACTTAGTAAGACGTCGTTTTCTCTTGATCTAATATTTTGTTGTTGTACATTAAAACTTTAAAGTATTATCAGAATGCTTCAAGCATATGGTTTGATCATTGAAAGTCCCATTTCAGTTTTATGCTAACTGGGCACTGCAGAGCACAGCAGTTCTTTTGGTGTGGGCACA